CCTCGATCAGTGAGGAAGTTGATTTACCTTTATAGATAAAAGAAAGCTTACTTATGGGTATCAAATCGTTAATCAATGATTCACTTTACAGTCATGTAATAATCAGCTCACTACGTTTTATCAACAAACATAAAATTAAATCCAAGTTTACATCGTTCGAGTTTCTCTCGTATTCTCTTACTTTCGCTTAAAAGTGTAACTTTCAGTTTCGACTATACTCGGAATACTAATATTGCGTTTTCGAGATCGCTTCGTAAAGGACGTGGGCTGAATTTGTATGTCGATTATAGTTGCTATAAATTTTCAAAACAATGTACATAGAAAATGAATTGACTTAATTTGTCTTCTAGTCTCTTGTTCAAGTGTATGCAAGTGTGATTGATATGCATGAGATTTTGGGTTCAAAATTGGCGAAATATGCAAGGAGTCCTTTTGTTAGAACTTGTAGCATATGCTTTAAGGTTCGAACCTTGGGTTAGGCGAGAGTTTGGCTTCATTGAGTTACTGGTAATGATGAGGAATTTGAGTATTCGTCCCTGACGTTATGGGAGTTGGATTTATTAGAAGGGACTCTTAACATTTCAGTAAAAGTGATGTCACTTGCATTTCTCTCTTCTCTTTTATTGGACAAAGGGCATGCCTGTATTTTTTAGTTTTTCAAATTATGCTTATTTTACTAAGAACTGAAATAATCGTTATTTTTATTCCGATATCCACCCGCAAAAGCATATTAGACACTAACAAAACCTTCGTAAACCATATAAGCTAATAATATACTGAACCAAACAGAAAGTTACGCAGTAAACAGGTCCGTATGAATTGAAACAATGCCAAAATGCAGAACATCTTACGTTCAGTGAAAGTGTTCTTGCAAATGGCTTGTAATAAAGTAATTTTTATTGACGGTAAGTAAAAGAAGGTAATAATAAATAATGGGGTCAGAAACCCTGCTATTGTTTCGCTCATATATACGCAATAATTTTGATATGCTTTTGTTACGTTTTATATCGTTTTAGTAGAAATTATTTTAGAGTTTTTGATGGTATGCGGATCTTAGGACCAAGTTTGGTCTTTCAAGTTATTGATGTGTTGAAATTATCATTTATTGTTTCTGTAGCCGGTATCGTAGGTTGCCTTTTGACATTTATTTATTTAATAATTTAAGTAATCACAAACTACACACTTATAAAATTGAACTAGGTATAAAGGTGTTACTTATTCTTGTGGAAATTTCTTTTACACTATTTACCTAATATCTAACGTGTTAAATAGAATGGTAGGTATTTCCACTTTTATCCGACTTCTTTTGTTTTGAAAAGACAAATACGATGTTATATTAAACATAAATAGGTTATATAACCTTACGCCTGTCTCCTATGGAGGTAGAAACTATACCAAAGATTCCAGAGAATATGAAACGCCTACGCATAGTGCTACGATTCTTGCACTCCTCTTTCACTTCATCAATAATTATCATGATAGGTATGTTTCATAAAAATATTATATTATTAAATTTGAAAATTTTGCATTATTATTTGGTATTCTACAGAACCCACACCTATTATATTCGAGTCTTACTTAAGAAAGAAATTTCCACCATCAATGTCATCCTCGTCGCATCTCGTTAGATATGCTTAAGTCTTATGACAGTATAGTGAAAAGTGGCTTTCTCTAAGTTAATAATGTCATTTTGATATCACATTTTTGTTACAGTTGGAACATGTAATTGGACTATAAGTATGTATGGTGATGATTATGTGCTAACTTTCTTATTATGTTTTTTTTTTGAAGGAGATAATCATCCAATGGCTTTTCCCGCCCGTATGAGGCGAGAGGGAATGTCAGACTGTTACTGACTAAAAACCACCCCGTTCCTACTCCTGCACTTCGAGCCAGAGCCCCGGCAACCCGTTAAGCCCTCCGCGGCCCGTATCCGTATGTGGTGGTCTGATGGCTCCTCCTCTGGAGGGTTATAAGACTTCATGGTCCTTGTGGTGCATAATTATGATATACTAGTTTTTGTCAAATACGTTTTTTTTTAAACGTTGGCCTCACATTAGGATTTTCTCCTGTGTCGTGGGTGCGTTTACAAACATAGAAGTTCACATACACAATGACACCCAGACCCGAAACAACAATTTGTGGATCACACAAAGTGTTGTTCCGTGCGGGAATCGAACCCCCGACACATTGCACGGCAGCCGGTTGCCCAGCCACCGCACCAACCGTGCAGTCGCTTCGCCCGCATTCCCGTGAAATATAAAGTGGTGTGTGTTATTCCAGACCGTACTCGTATCCTTTCATCTCGATCCCTGAAGCCGTTTTGACGAGAAGGAGTTTATAACAACAAACAAATCAACAAACCTTTGCATTGGCAATATATTATTAATAGGTTTTTTATCGCAGTGTAGCTGATGACATTTGTAACCTGTTGTCCACATGGGAGTTTAAGAATCGACTACAAATTTTTCGGACACAGCACGCAGTAGCTCTCTATGATAAATAATTATCTTCTTTTTTATGGGATAAGCCGGTAAACCAGCAGACGGATCACCTGATGGTAAGCAATCAGCACCACCCATGGACACCTGAAACACCAGAGGTGTTACAAGTGTGTTACCGACCTTTTAGGAATTATGAATTTAAGGATTATTGAGGTTATGAAGATTGGGGAGATTGGAGAGGGGGATAATTGAGCTTTCGGTAATCTCACTCACACGACGACACACAACGCAATGTTGTTTCACGTCGGTTTTCTATGAGGTCGTGGTATCAGTACGGTCGAGCTGGCCTATTTGTGTCGAAGCATGGCTCTCCCAAACTTTTTATTGGGATGTGCCATCTACGATGCGTGAAGACTATGACCCCATCAGGCGACAATCGACTTTGATGACTGCCACATACAGGTCATGTTGATTAAACCTCCTGTTAGGTAATAATCGTCACACAAGATAATCCATCGGTATTTTCTTCGTCACTTGTTTCTTCATACATCAAACATTAAATAGAATAGTAAGTCTGTTTAGATAAATTGCTATCGACATGTTTTTTACCCACAATAATTATCCAAGTTACGTTGGCAACCCTACCCCGCTCTAGTTTTGGAGCGTGCGTGAGAAACATTGCGCTGCGCAATGGTAACATTACTGACTCGCGTTTAGATAAAAAATACGTTCAAATAAACCTAGGTTAGGTTAATTTGTTGCTAATTTTATGTAACTTACCGGATACTGTGTTGTTGGTTGATAAAAAATAATATTTTGTGGTTATTAGTTCTTTAGGGCTTGGCTAGTAAATTGTCGCTGTCTAAAAAGGCCGTGAACCACTAATAATAGGCACTTTACCTGCTTGCATTTTTAATTTCGTCGGAATATTGATTTTTAGTTTCAAAATATTATCAATAACACAACGGGTAGTTTAATTCAATATATCATTTTTGGATTAATTTGAGCCAAGTACAAAAAGTACAGTACTTTTTATATATATGTTAAATGAATAAGTACATACTTTAGTGGTTTTTTTGAGGGGGAAAATCATTCAATGACATAATTATTCCGCTCGGGTGAGGCGAGAGGGAGTGTCAAACTCTTACTGCCTAAAAACCACCCCGTTCCTACTCCTGGACTACGAGCCGGAGTCCTGGCAACCCAGTAAGCCCTCCGCTGCTCTGTATGCTTTAGTGTCTTACCTATTAATAATTGGTTTGTCGTTACGCTATAGGCATGAAAGATAATTATTATTCTACTTATTACTGATTGCACTATTGGGCAACTGACTGCCGCGCAACTTGTCGCGGGTTCGATTCCCGCACGGAACAACGCTTTGTGTGATCCACAGATTGTTGTTCCTGGTCCGGGTGTCATGTGTATGTGAAATTGTTCGTTCGTAAACGCACTCAAGACATAGGACAAAATTCTAGAGTAGGGCAACGTTTAAGAAAAAAAAATATTGTAACGCAAGTACTTACTTAATAGCCGATTCTTGCAAGCATCTTTTAATGGAATAGGAGGCAAACGAGCAGACGGATCACCTGATAGTAAGCGATTAGCGCCGCCCATGGACACCCGCAACACCAGAGGAGTCACAGGTGCATTACGGGCCTTTTAAAAATGGAAAAGCGTGGACATTTTTGTACATACCTGAGTAAAACAATTGAAGTTTAATTGTTTTACTATTTACTATAACATGGACACAATCTCGAGCAATACCAGTAAATGATTAAATAAACAAAAAGCCTTTAAACATTAGAGAAAGTGCTTTTAATGTATGCCAATGATATCTTCACTTAGATTCTGTGATCTCATCTCAATTAATGGCGACTAACGGTGAAAATGTACACAGAAAGTGATCCGTACTTTTTGTGGTGAAAATCTGTATGTGATTATGTATTTAGTTAGTTAAATAATGGACCTTATTATGTATTATGCAAGATAGGTATTTCGTGAGAACATTATTTTTATTTTGATAGGTACGTAATCAATGTATAAGGTACTTCTTAGATTATGTTTATATTATAACTTTCGTGAGACATACTATATTATTTACTAGCTCCTGCCCGTAACTTCGTACACGCAATCCCGTTTTCTCCCGTTCTCGTAGGATTTTCAGGATTTTTTCTGCCCTAAGAAATTTCTAAATAACAAACACACCAAAAAAAGAATTAGTGAAATCGGTTCTGCCATTTACGCGTGATGCCGTGACCAAGGGAAAATGAGATTCATTTCTATAAATATAGATTATGTTTTCGACCCACTCATGTAACTGTTTGACGAGGAACAGTAGCGGCTCGACAGTCGCCGCGTCATGTGTCGCGGAATGCTGCTCATGAATATGACCCTCTAGCATGGCTTGAAACTAGTCGAGTTCCTCGTCAAACAATTACGTGAGTAGGCCGAACACATAATAATTAATTTACTCTAGATTAATAGATTATTTTGGTCCTAGGGTTGTGTGTGTTCTTTGAGACCCATTGGGTAAGTTAAAAACGAACCAATTGTGTTTAAAAAGTTTATTTATGTTAAAATCAGTCAATACTTTCTTCCTTCAATACTATCCTTCTATTTAAAATGACAAAAAGCCTCAATCGGCAAATAATGACTCATAGCGCCTCAATAATCGAATGGGCAAACTACACCTCTTTGACAGTTGCTCACATAATCTTGATAGGCGCTGTAATTTCTTCTCTTTCTCCCATGGACTAAAACAATTAGTTCAAAGTCTTTCCTTAACGTTCTATTAATAATTGTTATGATTTAATTAATACTAATTAGGTTTTATATTAGTTATACAGAGCTTGGGTCTCGCCTTAAACACCACGCCTTTTTGCTTCTGAAACAGACGAACAAAAACTATAAATATTAAGACCCACGTGTGACCACCGACAAGAAAACGACTAACTCGTCTATTTTATCGCTCAAGAAACGTATAATAGATATACATTCCGCGTAAACAAAAGAGATGCATATACGAATAGTTGCTGACTGTTCACATTGCTGGCGAGCTACGCAAGAGCAACTATTGGAACTGTATAGTTCCAATAATTCCAATTCTAGCTCTACTCGTCACTCATTCATTCTTCTTGAGTGTAGCCAGCCAGTGGTTCAGGATGGCAAGTCTATAAAAATATATAACTGGTAAACTATATACGCGCGGTTTTAGACTGGTTAACTAACGATTGTCGAGTATATATTTTTATTGTAAATACTAAACAGTTTTTGTAGTTACTACCTACTAATTGATGATTTAGATATTTAAGTTTTGGTAGATACTCTTTGTCAGAGCTAGCTCCACCTTGTCACACCGTGGCTACGCCCATGGTTGCCAGTGAGTCAAGTGCCATACTAGCAATTCACTAGCTATGATTTTATGATGCCGAATTTAACAGGCGCTGTACCGTACAAATTTAAAATTGATATCTACTACTTCTTTTTACTGACTTTGAATTCCAAAATAGGTCTTCTGTACTATAGTATTTGTAATGACGTGCACAGATATCTTGGAGATCGCAGATTAAAAGGTCAATAACAGGTCTTACTATATCTGACGACTATTAAGAAGACTATTCTTAATTTTCTAATGTTGATATGTGACAAATTCTGGGAGCATTACTCCTAAACTTTAAACTGCGTTCCCTTATCATAACAAACAGCACCCTTTTTATGCCCGAAGGGATAGCCAGAGGTGCACATGACGACACTTAATGCCACTGTACAATGTAACACCTACTTTTCACTATTTATGTTATGAGTCCCATTTACTAGGGGTGAGCCTATTGCCATATACATTTCCAGACACAGTGCTACTACTGAGATATTAAAAAAACCCCTTGACACCATGCCCATTGCATGCAGTTGCAATTGCGACCACTCGGCTGACGAGGCACCACTGTGATCCAATACTTATAGATTATGCCAAACCTTCTTGCGTAGAGAAGACATATTGATTAGTCCAGTAGTGACCTGCCACGAGCAATTATTGATATTTAATGTATAATTACTTCAAATACTGGTTCAGTTCCCTCTTGTTGCACGATGACCAAGTCTTCGCTGGGTTCTTGGGGTTGTACTTGGCGTCCATAATGTACCGCTGTCCTCTGCACTCGTTGTGGGGCGGCCCATCGTGGGATATACCCAAACTAGAATAAATATTAACGAAGATTAGTTTTATTTATTTAAATGGTGTTTCTTAATGTTCTATAATGGGAGTGTTCTTATTGTATGCGATCAACGACATGCGTCCATCACATCGGACGAGGTACAAATGTGCGTATATACAAATAGAAGTGTGGGATAGCCATGCCTCGGCACGAATGTGCCGGCTCGACCGGAGTGATACCACGGCCTCACAGAATACCGACGTGAAGCAACGCTTGCGTTGTGTGTCGTCGTGTGAGTGAGGTTACCGGAGGCCCCCAGTCTCCTCAACACCGGAATACACCACAATCCTCAAATTCCCAATTCCCATAAGGCCGACTGGTGTTTCAGGTATCCATGGGCGACGCGACGTCGTTTGCTTACTATCAGGTGATCCGTCTACTCGATTACCGGCTTATTCCATAAAAAATGCATTACCTAAAGTAACCTACCTGAAAAGTAAACCTTGATAAGAGTTTACATATCACTAAACTTCAAACAATCACGTATCGCGAAAGAAATTTTATACAATTATAATAGCTAGAGGTACCATTAGCATACTAACTATGCTAATTACTTCCATTACTCAATGACCTAGAGTATATTTTTAACAACATAGGTTCCAAAAACAAGCCAATTTATGATTTGTTAGAGCGTAACCTAAAAATACTAATTACATCCACGGAAACAATATTTTCGCACTTAACCAATGTAAATAAAGCATACCTATATTCGCAAATTCACACTTGCAAATATTTCGCACTCGATATTCGAATTCTTAGAACGCTATTAACATTCTGGCTAAGGAATTTACACATCAGTTCATCAAGCTACACCCCTCTGCCAAACATCTTTAATCAACTTTCAACTGTATTATTTTTGAACTAAAGTCGAAGATTAATTGTAGATGTTAGATGTATTGGGGTAGGTTGGTTCGCTGTGCGACCTAGTAACATGTCGATGTCTTTATTAGCCTAAATACATAGTATATCTTGAGTGACATAACGACACGGCTTGTGTCCTATTATTAGTAATTGATAATGCTGTTTTGATTTTTTTATTCAATGCTGTCTGCAAATAGAGGGCATTGACTTATGATTGTTTTTAAGGCCTGCTATTTTTTGTTTTCAGTTTTCCTTGAAGATATGGGAATGTAATAATAATGTCAACGAACTTATTCTTTATTCTTTACGATAGTAATTTACGTAAGTGAATGATTTCTTTTCTTTTTTAACGGAAATAATGTGCTGGGTATTGGGTGCTTACTCTTGAAAACTTGAAATCCCAATGTCAATGCAATTTCAATTCAATAAAATCTCAATAATTATTCAATGTCAAAACTAAACAACCACAATCGTAGCTGTTACAACAGCATTCAGAGTACGGAATATAAAGCCAAACTCAATACCATTTCGTTAATTAAATATCCACGCAATGGGCGGATCAATCCGGATGCAATGGGCGCTAGGGCGCTAGTGTTGCAACTCAAGAGTACGAAATTTTACAAAACTAATGTCGATCGATCGGAATTGGATTCAAGAGTAAGCCCCCAGGACTGTACAATGTACGTACATATAGGTAGGTCTCATTTCCTCAAACTTTGCACCTCCCACAATACATTATTTCAAAAAATTCAAAACATCACCAGAGAATTCAACAAAGGCTTTGACGTTTAGCAATATTCCTTGATATTAAACTGTCAAACACCAAGCGGTCACCGGTGACCGCAACCTATTGTTCTATAATTGTGTCTACAAAACCGGTACTCGACGAGTTAATTGACCATCGAAGGTAATGAAACATTTTATCTATTTTATACGACATACAGACAGACATTTTATATATACTTATTTGAGTACAATAGAATTACATTCAATTATATCCGGACATGAGTACAATTAGCAAATAATTATTAAGTTCTTAGATTTTAATTACTCATAAAATGTATAGGAGTAACAAATACAAATCTAGGCGATTCAGTGCTCAAGTACCAACTACCACTATAACTGTTAAACATTATTTTAAGTTCGATAGCTGAATTGATAAATTCCTAAGCTATACTATTAGAAGTACTGTTAGCAATAAGGTTTATGACGATAGACTGCCTCGTTGGCCGAGTATTTAATAGGGGGTGAGCCTATTGCTATATACCGGGCACGATTCCAGACTCCGTGCTACTATATGGATTTTTTTAAAAACCCAGTAATTCGATACCCGGGAATCACACCCGAGACCCCTTGCCCAGTCGCACTTGCGACCACTCGGCCAACGAGACAGTGTTTCTAAAATGTCTGTTAACCTTTGATCACATGCTTTATGCGGGAAAAATATCGTTTATTATAACTTTTTGATTGATCAATACATAGTATAAAACAAAGTCGCTTTCGCTGTATGTCCGTATGTAGGTATGCTTAGATCTTTAAAACTACGCAACGGATTTTGATGCGGTTTTTTTAATAGATAGAGTGATTCTTAAGGAAGGTTTGTATGTATAATACATGCATATTGCACCCGTGCGAAACCGGGGCGGGTCGCTAGTTACTAATAAAATGAAGTGTACTATAAATAAAATAATAAAAAATGTAAAATCTTTTTAATACCAGGAGCCCCGTATATTTGATATGGGAGATACGGCGTTAGCTACGCCCCTGTTTATATCTGTTGATTATGCATTTTTTTTAAGGGGGGAAAATCTTCGAATGACTGCTCCTGCCTGGGTGTAAGTGCGGGAGGGAGTGTCAGACTCTTATTGACTAAAAACCTCCCCGTTCCTTCTCCTGCGCTTCGAGCCGGAGCCCCGGTGAACCGTTACGTTCTCCGCGACGTTGATTATGCATAGTGATATAATCAAAGAATAAAATACGAAAACAGTACGAATTGAATCAAGACAAAAAGCGAAAGATAAACAAAACGAAGTAAAACTTCACCTGTGTGCTATTTCATGTGTAAGTACATAGGCGATGTGCTTGGGATGCCACTCCAGCAGGGTGCAGCTGTTCCTGATGCTGCACATACTCTTCATGTAGCCTCGACCTGGAAATATTACATTTTCTGTCATTTATTGAAATTGAAGCCAAAGGATTGTATGGTAGTACAAATCCTGTCTTCTTTTATTCTTCTTTTCCAATTATTTTGAAGTCAGAACTTGCATTTGAGTGAAGGTCAATAATGAACATGGAACCATTGACTACTGTACCTAAGCATACTATCACATTTATAGTTAGAACCTTTGTTAGTTCAGACTAACTGTTACTGTAGGGACTCCCATAGATGTTTGTATGATAAAAATACAAATACAATATTAATGTTTAGGAAAATCAAGCAAAAATGTTCATTAAAACGAATAGACTTCAACAGAATTCATTCAATTCACTCATATATATTCAGCTACGACACTTGAAAAATAACGGACTCCTAGCAAAATTAGCGGTCCAGTAGAATTCACACTCCAATAGAATGAACAACTTCGAGTGTAGCTGATAGTTTGCGAAATATTTGCTGTATTTCCTGATGATGGGATACCAGGTTTATTTCCATAATTGGCTTTGACTTTTATTGCTATTATGGAACAGGTTGTATTGTATGCAGTTTATTACGGCCTAAGATAAGGTGTGTACTGTTGAAGAAATGGTGAGATGGGATTTGCTTTACAGTTAGTAATGTAGAATTTCACAAGGTGCTATAACTGACTATAGTGTTTTGTTTACACTGTTGGTGATTTTAATGACTTAAATTTGAATTGTCTATAAGGTTTCTTATTATAATTTACATATTATGTGTTATCGTGGACGGAAACCCATATACTTGTTACATTTGTTAAATAAAATCTTTGCTTGCCTCTTGCACCTACTATTTACTCTTCTTTGCATCACCCAAAGGTCAGACTGGAAGAAAATGCCTGAGGCATTAAGTCCACCTATTTATAAATTTTGTGCATGAAGCATATTAAATAAATAAATAAATAAACAAATATACTCATATATGTAGCTTCCTCATTACCATCGTATTGGCCAGCAAAAGACACCCACTGCTGAACTTAAGGCTCTCAAAGTGGCTTACAGACCAGTAGATAGGTTAATACTCAATAAGAAATTTAGCAAGATATGCCTCCATGGAAATCACATAAATAGGTATCTTTACATACCTGTACTACTCCTAACTTCAGACCCGAACCGATCTAAATAAAACAGATCCAATCCAGTAAACAGCACAGAATAGAACCATTTCTGCTTCGCTAGCTTCTTCTCCCCTTGCCATCTGCAATAACTCTTCAAATATTTGGAAACGTTCTCGTCCATCACCACTTTCTTAGTATTATTCTTTAGGATTTTGACATCTATCAGTTCCATTTTGACTTTCTGCTGTAGATTTGGATGTGAGAATAATTCTTCTACGTCCTTTAATATGTCTATTGCTAGTAGTTTGAACTTTTCTCTAATTTTGTGCTTCGATTCTTTTGATAGTACTCTCGTTAACGCTTTGTCTAAATGCATCATCACTGGTATTGTGATGTCTGTCTGCTTTGTGTAGTACTTTATTGATGCCTTGTTCTGGAGTTTTGAGGTTGTTAATGTGTTCTGGAAAACAAAATTAACTTTTAAGTTGGATTTTGACTGCTAACTCGTCTAGTGTTGAGCGACCCTGGAGTACGTCTGCCTATAATGAATCTAGTTTTGTTATCTTAATTGCCGTTTTTAGATTAGAGCTGCTTCTTTGGTCGATTGAATGCATTCTTCATCTTTGAAATTCTCAGTAATAGTATTGTATCGGCAATTGAATTCATCGTAAGGCATTGCCACATTTATATGGTATTTACTGGTAAAAGGTTGACGTTTTATATATTGGACTTGCCTCGTTGGCCGAGTGGTCGCAAGTGCGACTGCCGTACAAGGGGTCTCGGGTTCGATTTCCGAGTCTGGCAAAGTATTAGGTACTGGGTTTTTTAAAAATTCTCAGTAATAGCACGGAGTCGGGAATTGTGCCCGGTATATGGCAATAGGCTCACCCCCTATTACATGAGACAGATACAGATGATATAAATAGTGAAAAGTGGGTGTTAGATTGTACAGTGGCATAATGTGCACCTCTGCCTTTGGGAGCTTGTGGCGAGCTTGTCCCATTTAAAAAAAGTACTGGTGTCAAGCATCTCTGCCTCCGGCTTTTAGAAATAAAATTTGTGTATTTTGATTGGAACTTTATCATGATTTTGCTGTTACTTTACTCTAGTAAGCTGTTTTAAAACAGGGAAAGTATCTAAGCTTTTCAATTTCTCTTTAGTGGCGTAGAACCTGAATAAGTGTCCGGTTTAAAGCAGTAGTTTCACTTCCAAATACCATACTTAAGTATCTATGTAAAGTACTCAATGTAATGTATAAAAAGTGTGGGAGAGCCATGCTTGACACGAATGAGCTGGCTCGACCGGAGTGATACCACGGCTTCACAGAAAACCGACGTGAAACAACTCTTAGGTTGTGTTTCGTCATGTAAGTGAAGTTACCGAAGGCCCAATCACCTCTCCACTCTTCTAAATCCAACTGAATCTCCAACAATCCTCAAATACCTAATCCTCAAAATGCCGGTAACGCACTTGTAATGCCTTTAGTGCTCTGGGTTTCCATGGGCTACACCGATTGCTTACCATCAGGTGATTCGTCTGCTCATTTATCGTAATAAAAGTTTCATATGTATAAACCTACCTCTATTAATTTTTTATAAATACTTAGTATTAAAATTCTACTACAGAATTATATTTTAGTTATGCTAGATGAAATCAGTTTTATTACTGGATTGATATTTATGCTAATGGCAGTTTGTAGGGACTAGACAGGTAATGTTTCGTCATCTCTGACCGATGTTGTATCCTGGCCACGTTTAAAATGGATATGAGATCGGAAAATGACTTAGTTTAGTTGAATTATTATCTAAGTAAGTAAGCGCTAATGTGATTTTAAGTTCTCTATCATCAACATCATCATTATCGTGATCATGATTTGGTATCTGGCTTTATGTTCACTATTCTTTATTCACTAGCTAGCTAGGTTCTCGCGGTTTGATGTTTTATAGAATATAACCTTCCTATATAAATTGAGTATTCAACACCAAAAGATTTTTTCAAATCGGTTCAGTAGATCCATATGGCGCGTTTAAACAAAAAACGAACTATTCAGATTTATATAATAGTATAGAGATATTACTAGTATAGAGATATTTATTTATTTTAGATAAAAAATACCCTGTATGTTACCCAGGACATTAAAGTGTAATGATACCGTGTTTCATTGTAATCGAAACGGTAGCTTTTGCATGATGCGTGAACATACAGGCAGACAAACATTTTATTAATCACAAGTTTGGATTCAGAGTGACACCCCCTACTATTTATTTTTTTAATGTTTTCAATGTACAGAATTTACATTGACTTCTATAATTTCATTATATTATCTATGTACAGAATAGATGTTAGATTTATTTATTTTTTTAATAAAAAAATAGTAATTGCACAAAACTTTGGTTGCCAGTAGGTATTGGTTTAGTTCTCACGATAAGCACATGTATGTTGCCAAAATGAACAGATGTCTAAGTTTTGACCTTAATCCTATGCTGACGCGGTCATTGACACATGCACAATTGTAATCTTTCTAATATCTTCTAAAAATTTCAGCAGTTTGTTAGACGCCTAACTAATATTTGAAGTTGCATGCCCAACAGCCGTATTTATGTTCTTCTGAGGACCCTTAATAAATATGTTCTATTTCTAATACAAATACTTTCGATTTCCAGCGATGTGGTCGCGACTACCGATTAGAAGGCAGGCAACGTATAATTGCCAGATTATCTACTATATAAAAATGAGTCGGGTTTTCCTTCCTGACGCTATAACTCCAGAACGCTCGAACCGATTTCTACGGTTTTGCATTCATTGGAAAGGTCTCGGGCTCCGTGAGGTTTATAGCAAAGAAAATTCACTTTAAGTCACCAAAGGAAATGTTACATAAAACGAAGCCATCTGGTGGCGAAACGGAGTTCGCCGGGTTTGCTAGTCGCATAAAATAAAGATATCAGTTGTTTATTCTGAAGTTTGGAATTGCGTTCGGAGTATGACAATGAACTTAATTGTGGGTGAGCCACGAATGTGCCAGACCTCACAGAAGGGACACCACGGCCTCACAGAAAACCAACGTGAAACAACGCTTGTTGTGTTTCGTCGTGTGAGTGAGGTTACCGGAGGCACAGTTACCTCCCCCCCCCCTCCGCAATCTCCCCAATCACTCAAATCCCCAACAATCCTCAAATTCTTAATCCCCAAAAGGCCGGTAACGGACTTGTAATGCCTTTGGTGTTCCAGGTGTCCATGGCCGACACCGATTGCTTACCATCAGGTGATTCAATTGCTTGTTTACAGTCTGATCCTATGAACAAAATAATTGGTTGGCCCCTATTACATGGAAAGTATAATTTGTCCAGAGAAAAGTGTGTGTTACACGGATATTAAAAAGCGTGATATTATGCTATAGTTACATATTGATTTGCACAATTACATTTTCATTGTTTTAAATGGCTATTCTGAGAGAAGCAATTTATTTAGCATCAATTTCTGGGTATGACAAATTGAGGCCACAGACATGACGTGGAAAAAACTTCGCAACATCTGTTTAGTCATAATATTGTAGTGTTTAGACTATATTTGGTGCCTTTAATTAATCTAAACACTATCAAATTAAAGGATACGTACGGATAGCGTCACCTTCTCGAAATATGACAGAAATAAAATATTTAAAACGTGTTAACACCGTGACCGGTGACCGGCGTTAGCGGAAGATTTACCTTCAACAGTTTTTTATTGGTAGTCAATGTCTTAAATATGATAGGAACAAAATTATGTATAAACGACAAAGTAAATGATGATAGATAGCTTTCAGTTACGTTGATGTTTTTTATATTCCATGCATAATTTATCAATTTATTGCACTTTATATTTTTCTTAAACTGTCAAACACCAAGCGGTCACCGGTGACCGCAACCTATTGTTCTATAATTGTGTCTATAATGACGGTACTCGACGAGTTAATAAGAAATACATACTTTGGCACAAATGGCCTACTTGACCGGAGTGTTACCACGGCCTCATAAGAAATCAACGTGAACCAAAGTTGTGTTTTACCATGAGTGGTATTAGTATTGTGACATTTTCCGAGTTTTATGTATACTTCCGAAGATTATTAAAATTTAGACACTGACAAACAGTGAAGAAAAAAATCGTGTGGAATCCTTATAATTTCTAATTATAAGTCTGAAATCGTCAACCCACATTGAGCAAGTGTGATTATTAATACTCAAACCTTCTCCATGTGAGAAGAGGCCTTTGGTCAGCAGTGGCCACTTATAGGTAGCAGAGGCCAAGTAGCTCTAAAGAACAATGACGCATCTTTTCATGTTGCGGATGACCATGGCTGACGTTGATTGCTTACCATCAAAGGATCCATCTGGTCGTTTGCCTACTTTATCTCATAAAAGAATGCAGACACCAGCGTCTACACAGGTACGACCACACTGCTAAGAGTGGAACTTAGGATAGGTGAATAAGTTTTCGTAGTCTGGTGCATTCTTCAGAATCGAAAACCGTTTACTCAACATCACCAGCCACAAACAGTCACTAGACCAACAGTGCTCGCATTATTACAAAATCACATCTTTTATTTCTATAAAAAAACTAGCGGACCCGACAGACGTTGTCCTACATATACAATTGAATTTATAAACAAAAATTAATTTAAATTAGTTGAGTCGTTTAGGATAAATAACTTAAGACGTCGACTGCAGCGTTATCTGCCGGGCTGATATGTGAATCTAAACCATCCAGGGCGTCACTCAAATGCATACAGAAAAATGTATTAAATCGGTCAAGCCGTTTAGGAGGAGTTCAACGGCATACACACGTACAGCAGAATTATGTATTATATATAAAGATAAGAAACTTTTTTTACTAAAACCTACATTTTCCTAGTTACTGAGGTAATTGGGGACGAGCCTATTACAAAACACAGGGCACACGACTAAGATAAAACAGTATACTCAAGTACAACACCTATTCATAAACAAAAGACCGCAATTATTACACTTGTTATTACCTACGTTTAGTGAACCATTTCTCAGAAACACTGATTCGCAAATGGCACGCGTTTTCAGGAACGTGTAGGTCGCTTGTAAAACAAATATAACCGTTAACGAGCCAAGCATTGAACCCGGGACCTTTGAGAATGGTGTTACGTAACAAGCCTGAATGGTATTTATTGATAATTTTAATTTGCAAGTTTGGAGATCATGGCTAGTTGCAAATAGATTGGTGTAGAGTTGTGAATCAGCTGATTAGTTACGTGTCGTTGGTTTGATTCCTATGTTGGACATTTGTTAGTCATATCAGTGAAACGTGAGTCTGATGAAATTGTAGATTTTAAGCAACAAATTTTTATTATTTTAGGCTGGTTTTACAGTCACGCGTTTCGGCAGCGCCGTCGGAGCGCGCGCGCTCGGATATGTATTGGGGTATTAGTAGCGTTTCAAATTCGCGCGCTTGAGCAGCGCCGTTCGTTGAACGCGTCCTATTCGCGCGGCGCGGTCGAAGCGCGCGCCGCTCGTGCGCTTCTACGGCCATTGTGCGTTTTAGTCTCACGCCGTTGAGACGTGCCGTTAGGTACTGTTGTGTACAAAATGAATCACATCGATACGGGTCGAGTAATTGACGAAGTGCGAATTAGAAGATGTTTATGGGACCCGGCCGATGATTTTTATAAGAAAACTCTAACTTGCACAGTAATTCGTCGAAACTGCTGGTTGATAGGCGAAAATATTTATAAAATTTATAACTATTTTCTCGTAAATCAGAGAAAGATGTTACGTGTTCGCCTCTCAGTAACCTTGTAGCGTTATAAGGATCAACACCTACTGTTCTTCGACGTTTTTGTTGCCTTTTTTTCCATAAAAAGTAAATAGCCAGTACTCTAACCGCATTGCCGTTCATTTTGTATCTGTTTGTACACGACTGTCTCACAGCAGCGAAACGCGCCGTACTAATGTCGTTTTATGGTGCACCGCTGTTCAAACGCGCGCTGTCCAACAGCGCGCTGTCCAACGGCGCGTCTAGCGGCGTGACTGTAAAACCAGCCTTACTGTTGTGAAAGGGGGTCCGTAACTATCGTAACGACCATATTATGTATATCTCTCGTCGAACACATAGCTATTTTAAAATGAAATAGTTCAAATCGAGACTAATATGACATAACATCACGCCTTTTATCCCCGAAGGTGTGGGCGGAGGTGTACATTACAGTAATTAATGGCACTGTACATTGTAACACATGTATGTTTTCACTATTTATGTTATGAGTCCCATGTAATAGGGGGTGAGCCTATTGTCATATACCGGGCACAATTCCAAATTCCGTGCTACTATTGAGATTTTTTTTAAATCCAGTAATACTTTGCCCGATCCGGAAATCGAACCGAGAACCTGGGCTAAAATCTCAAGCTCAATAGACCTTGAGACCTTGGAAACTGAGACAACACTTCTACAATATCATTCAGTATCAAAAAATATTTCAACTAAGTTTTGTTTTTCATAGATGGGGTGGGGTGAATGAGTTGACGGATCACCTGATGATCACTCTTGAACAAGTCATCAACACCATTGGTTATCAGTTAGGAAGTAATATTTTGTCCTTGACAGTATCTACCTATGTATGCAATTTAAGACCTATTTATGTCATAAATTAAATATAATTTATTAGTCATAAACGTGCTAAGTTTTCCCTAATATTAATTTTAATTAATAATTGTGTATTAAATTAAATACGTTATCTATTTTGTAACAATTATTTTATGTTTTGACTTATTATTTGGATCCTATTTTAGTTAGTATCAGTCTAAATATTGAGCTAATTGAAAACAGGATAAAAGGAGGAAGGACAAATTACTATATTTATTACAAAATATATGAACCGAATACCTAATATTGCAATGATTAGGCAGTAATTCTATCTCATCATCATGCCTCTTATCCCCGAAGGGGTAGACAGAGGTTCACATTACGGCACTTAATGCCACTGCACACCCACTTTTTACTATTATGTTATAAGTCCCATGTACTAGGCGTGAGCCTATTGCCATTAACCGTGCACAGTTCCAGGTTCCGTGCTACCACTGAGAATTAAAAAAAAATCGGTATTACTTTACCCGAACCGGGATTCGAACCCGAGACTTCTTGCCCGGTAGTCGCACTTGCGACCACTCTACCGACGAGGCAGTAATTGTTTACTAAAATTTAACTTGGGCGCTACTGCATGATAAACCTAAGCTAAAATTATCATACCATGACCTTTTAATCTTCAAAGGGATTGGCAGACATGCACATAAAATAGATTCGACGTGAGACCCACTTTTCTAAAGTCATGTCCACAATATTATGCTCTTATCGAACTATTTATGACCATTGAAATAAAAAAAAAAAACAAAAGAGCTCCTATAATAATTTTTGACAACCCGTCAATCGATTACAAGAACTCTTACTTGCGATTATTCGATCAACAACTAATCGAGATAACCTTTAAGCAGCAAGCACCTAATAAAAAATATCAATTATGATAAAATAATAGCCTTATGATAAAATTAACCTAGGTCAATACCTGCCTACCTAAGCTGCAGCTTATTGTATCAGCTTGTTGTAGCTTTTCTGCACTTATAAAGAGTATTTGGCTATTCTTTTCCAGTTACAGTCTATATTACATTGATACCACATTTCATCAAACATGGGTAGGTACTTAAAATACGTTTGGTTAGTGGCATGTGTCACATTTTGAATCAAATATAAAATATGCTTTGATAGTAGTATGTAATTGTGTTTTTACTGAATAACAAATTAATCAACGAAATGTATAATGATGATGGTAATGACTTAATGGTTAAATTTTAGGATTTTGTATGAAATGCATTTCCAAAATAGAATTATGTTTTGTCATATTCTTTATTGTTAAAACAAGAATCGTATGAAAGAAAAATTCGACACATTCACCAGTTAAACAACAGAAAATAGCACTTGAACTAAGCCAGGACGGAATGCCAGTAAATTATGATATTAACCAGAATATTGGGAAAAAGACCCGGGCGATGCTTGGACAAGTAATTAGTTTATACAAAAAATGAATCATAGCTTACCAATTTGCAAGAAATTCCATCCAAAAAGGCAAACACAAATAAAAACACATAGCACTTCATTTTGACGGTGACGTAGTAACTACTGAATATTATGACCGTATGTCCAGAATGCCTAAGCTGTACTAAGCTTCGCAACAAGTCCTAACCATAAGGACACGCACGACAGACAATACAGAAGGCCCATTGCATGAAGAGGAAAAATATATTCGTAAAATTGTTGTTGACAATAACATGATGTATTTCATCCATATGAAATCATCATCATTTAAAATTCTCTATAAATTACATTTTTAAATACTACTTACAATAAAAATAAAAAATATACTTAAAAATATAAAAAATAGGAGCCGACCAGTAGCGGGAGCATGGTCCAAGCTACCGGTAGTTAGGGCTCCAGAGACAGAAACCTCCTTACAATGCGCTCCGTTTCAAGGAGAACTGCCTTCTGTATCAGGCCCTTGACCCAACTGCCTAACGCTAGCCTCCTAAGATGGTTGTCGAGGCTATTAGGGATTAACCCATTGGCCGACACGACTATCGGCACAATGATAGCCAAATCTACATTCCACATGTCGACAACCTCGTGAGCCAAATCAAGATATTTGCTTTGTTTATCTTTTTCAGCTTTCACGAGGTTCTCATAACCAGTACCTGGTGATTAATGCTTAAACCTTCTCCGTTGAGAAGAGGCCTTTGGTCTGTTGTTGAAGTATTATTTATTGCTAACTAAAAATCGCGGGTTACTCATGTGAACATAATGAGAAAACTACACTACTATAAAATACACTACTAAATACTAGTTTCGAACTACAGTGCGGTTCATTTAGTTAATTTAGTATGTTTTTTTATGGCATAAGCCGGTAAACGAGCAGACGGATCACCTGATGGTAAGCAATCGGCGTCGCCCATGGACACCTGGAACACCAGAGGCGTAACAAGTGCGTTCCCGGCTTTTTGGGGATTACGAGTTTGAGGATCGTTGGGATTCAGCGATTGGGGAGATTGGAGAAGGGGAGGGTAATTGGGTCTCCGGTAACCTCACTCACACGACGAAACACAACGCAAGCGTTGCTTCACGTCGGTTTTCTGTGAGGCCGTGGTATCACTCCGGTCGGGCCGGCTTAATCGTGCCGAATCATGGTTCTTCCACACTTAAGTGTCAGTTGTTATAAAAACATTATTATATACATAGGTTATGAGTGAAACAACCAGACGTATTGCCTAATGTAAGCAATCAGTGCTACACATAGACAGTAGATAAACTCGAAACAATAGTATCTTAGTCAGTTATAACAATGATTTCATATTTGTATTGTAACTTTCGTGAGGCATATTAAATAAATTATTATGTTTTCGGCTTATTCACGTAAGAGTAGCAGCGCGACATTCGCCGCGTCGCGGGTCGCGAAATGCTGCTCGTGAATATGAGCCTCTAGCATGGCTTGAAACTAGTCGAGTTCTTCGTCAAATTATTATGGATTTCATAATTACAGATTTTTTCAAGTTTATTTTCTGTATGATTTTGACAAATCAGCTATTAGTAAATGAATGTTATTAAATAAAATTTTGCAATAATTGCAATAGTAGACTAAGGTCCCAGATGGAGATAAGTTACAGTGCATATTCGACCTTATAAAAATAATAATTTGAGACAAATACTCAAATATTATTATTCATTCATTTTGTTTTCGGTGGAGTTAGTACTACTTCAATTTTTATCTATCGTATGTTATTGAACTCAGCATCCATCATCATATAGGAGCCATTGGCTATTAAGGCGATTGCTTCTTCGATACTAAACTGGTGTAGCTAAATACATACGTACTTTAATAATGAGCAGTTCTGACTAATGTAAAAAACATAATAAATAATGAATAATGCATTGAAATAACGAGAGGAAATAAGGATATTAAAATAAATATCAAATGAGGATATTTTTTGTAGTAGACTGTAAAGGTTATAAAGTAAATAAATAATACCGCAGTGTTAGCACTACGATATTCCTACATTGTATTATAAAATGTCTAAGCATTACACATGATTTATTATCCTTAAAATATAGATTTTTTTAACTCACTCATACAGGCATATTTTATATTATCTACCAGCAATTTGCAACTTTTTTCAAAGACATTTCAAAGTCAAAGTCAAAGTCAAAGTCAAAGTCAAAATCATTTATTTCAATTAGGCCAGAATGGCACTTTCGAACGTCAAAAAAAATTGAAAGTGAAGCTATTTGCTCATTCCAAGGCGTAGATTCCAATGGAGAAGAACGAGCAAGAAACTCCATAGGTTACTCTTTTTCAATCAGGTTCACAATACAATTTACTAGTTACATAGTTTTGCTGTTTGGATTGTGCGAGAACAATGTAACACTAAAATTCAGTCAAAGTGATCAAAATGAGACTTCTGATGTTTCCATACGTCGTAAAATTCATGTGGGCCACATAACAGTATTATGTATTATTACTAAGTAAATTATCGGCTGTTACATGAAACAAACAATTGAACTCTTACATACTTTTTATCGTCATTTACAAAGGACATGATTACAATACAGCGATGTTAGAACTGATTGTGATATAAATTAAAAAAAAAATGATTGGGTGAGAAGCTGTCTGTATTTTTTGGTCCATTAGGTGCAAGTGTGTTAAGGACAACTAATTGTGTTGAGGTCGGTCCTTGACGTAGACAAAGTGCTCGTGAGTTTTTGGATTTTAAAGTTTTCAGTAATCGCTCTATACGATGTGTAAAATATTTTTTGTGAGTATCCAGTACTTACGAGTAGAAGCGGTCATACTAACAAATGGTATTAAGCGATAAATGTCTTTCCTAAATTAATGTAAATTGCCATACTGACATCACTTTTTCTAATCGACTAACGTCATGACAATCGTCTAGCGGGACTAAAAACACCTTTCTGTTTATACCTTCGAAGAATATTGTGACTAAAACACACCTGTGACTCCTCTGGTGTTACAGGTGATCCATATGCTCGTTTGCCTCCTATTCCATTAAAAAAATATCGAGTATAATTTTATCCATACTCACATAATTATACATTATTTGAATTGCCTCGCGACTTCCTTCATGCTTATATTAGCAAACTCATAGCAGATAACCTTACAACCTTGCTCAGGATTGGGACAAATTCCCGAATACTGAAACGCTTTAGTCTAGTTAAGCCACGCTCTAGTATTATTCTATCACTACTAACTCTTTATAAAATGACAAAGATGGCACGATACTCAAGTAAAACGTAACATGAAGTAGCCTTTCAGAATTCGGGTGTAAATTGCAAAAACTGATAGTTTCAGGGTGCTTACTCTTGAAACCAAACACAATGTCAATGCAATTTAAATCCAAAAAAATCTCAATAATTATTCAATGTCGACACTATAGTACATAGTGAAATAGCATTCAGAGTACGGAATATAAAGCCAAACTCAATACCATTTAGTTCATTCAATATCCACGCAATACGGATGCAATGAGCGTTAGTGCTCAAACTTAAGAGTACGAAATTTTACAATACCAATGTCGATCGATCGGAATTGAATACAAGAGTAAGCCCCCAGATATCAGCACAACCGATATGAAGAAAAGCTTTGAGAATAACGGCATTATAAAAATGATAGGTTGACTCAAAACAACTCAATTCTAATGAATGAATGTTAATAATAAAAATAAAAATATTATTACGAGTATACGGATTTTAGGTGCAACGTTTCCTTCCTCTCTCAATGAATAACAGCCATTCTGAGGCCATCTTAAGTCACCAGAACATTTAGAAATGACAGCCAACAAAATTAATATAATTGATGACTTAATATTTCATAGGAAAGCTGAGTTACTTGACATCATTTAACAATAAATCGTGATCTTTAAATCTGATACATGGTTAATTAATTCCATTAAATACTTCAAAGTCTATAGTTTACTTATGATGAATGTAGGAACCTGATCAATCATCGTCTATAATTTTAGAGCCCGTGTTATGTTACAGGTTTTTGCCGCAGATTCAAAAGGAAATACTCCAGAGCACTGGCGTAGCGTATCTTGGTGGGGCCCCGTATAAAAAATTGTTTCGAGCCTAAGGACAAAATGTCTTCTGAGATTTTACCTTTAACTCCCTCTGTCCAAATTTATATTTGAATAGATTTTTCTATTCCTTGGTTGCTGCCAACCTTTGAACGCACGCGTTTTGTGCTAACACATGTTGCCATATAATTGATATGGCAGGTACGGCGCTAGCTACACCCCCGCTTCAGAGATGAATGATTGTGATAATAATACATGAAAGCTACTGTTTTATGTATTTTTTAAAGTAAGAAAATCATCCTATGGCTTCTCCCGCCCGGTTGAGGCGAGAAAGAGTGTCAGCCTCTTACTGACTAAAAATCACCCCGTTCCTACTTCTGCATTTCGAACCGGAGCCCCGGCAACCCGTTATGCCATCCGCGGCTCCGTATTGGCATCAGCCCTATTACTGTTGTCGTGTCGAGTTTGGTTCACTTAATTGGTTTAAAATAAATACGAGAAAACTTGTTTCTTTATTTCTAAGTAGCCTATTTGTTGAACCAATTTACCTCTGACACAGTATTCCACATCAGGATGCTTACTCTTGAAATCAATCTCAATGTCAATACAATTTCAATCGAATTAAATCTTAATAATTATTCAATATCAAAACTATACAGCCCCAATTGTAGCTGTTCAAATAGAATTCAAAGTACGGAATATAAAGCCAAACTCAATACCTATTAGTCCATTGAATATCCAAGCAATACGGATGCAATGAGCGCTAGTGTTGCAACTCAAGAGTACGAAATTTCACAATACCAATGTCGATCGATCGGAATTGAATTCAGGAGTAAGCCCCCTGTTCAGTTCAATGTGATTAAATACGTAACTACAAAATATATTAGTTGGAACTTCTGCATTTATTGTTATTACTTAAACTAGAAGCTAATAAAATCAAAAAATACATGTACTGTGCGCGAACACTTAAATGAGAGTTATCCAGTTATCCAGGCAAAGTATAAAGGGCATCTTTGTTCGTTGTAAGACAAGACTAGAAATATTTTCTGAGTCATAGAAGCAAC